TAGCTAACTTGCTTTTCTGAACTACTTTCAGGATTATTTCTGGGCAAGCTCTGCAGTTTTGGAGCAGTGTTCATGAGAATGCATGTTCTGGGATTGGTGTGTACAGTTCCCAACTCACTTTGAAGGTGCTCACAACTGCACTGCTCACTATAACGCAGCTCTGACCACTGGGAAAATAGGAGCTTCAATGGAGGAGTATGTGAGTGGCTACCAATTGTTCCTCTGGGTTAGATGGCTGTGATCCATAGGACTTATATAGGATGGTATTTCCAAAGTACAGCACCAGGACTTTCTTGTCTGTATTAATCTGAAAGAGCTAATTTAGTCTGAAACCTATCTAGCATCATAGCATCAAATATAGAGGAAGTGTTGTAAATGCAGCTTGTACGTCTTTGGTCTAGTTTATGCCGATGCCATCCTAAACAGTGTGTCCATTCAGTGTCAATGCACTTTAGACTGGGCTGCAGCTAATGTGCACTTTCTCTGCTTGGACTACAGATTGAGATCCTGGCTCCATCTGAGCAGTATCTGCCCACTGGATGCTGAAATGACAGGCACACAAAGATGACCCAGAGATGCTGTTCCATCACTAATAGACAAAAAATTAATCCAAAAGGGTCTCACAGGGACAAATGGGCAGTCCTGTTTTCCTGTAGTATTTATTTCATGTCTCATTTCAATAGTAAATTATCTGAATAGAAGAATCACTCTGTAAAGAAAACTCTATCTCTGGGCTTGTAAATACCTTCTCACTTGGGACACAGAGGAGCAGGAGCCCCAGGATCTGGATGGTGTCACTTTTCTGCAGCTTTTCTTTTGGGTGCTGCTGCTCAGTCCCTATCTCCATGGGAGGCTCTGTCATAGCATTTTATGAGGTTCAGATCAGAAGCGCTAAGCTCAGGACAGGAGGTTGTTGAGGGGACATTTGTGCAAGGAACGCTGCAGTATGACCACGATATTCTTAGGACACAAGTCTGTGGTTAAAATCCTGTATGTTGTGCTGCTTTTGCTGTTCGATATATCTGTAATGGCCACCTATTGTCATGAATTCTCTGATGGAAATAATTATATTTCAATTTTCCTGTTATAGTTGCTGGAGTCTTTGAGTTGTGCAAATAGTTTGCACTTGGCTACAACCCTGAAGTTTGGTGATGTGAATCCACTGAGTGGTGGCATAGAAGAAAAGTCTAGCGATCTGCTTCAAGGAAAACTGCTGTTGTTGTTGTCAAGTGCTGTGGATTCAGTTCCAACTTAGAGTGAACTTGCATGAAGTTTGTGAGGAGTGCCTAGTTTGCGGTTCAAACCAACCTTATGGTCCAATGCTTATCCTACAGCACCATACCAGGAAGATGGCAGCCAGGAGAATGTTACAGAGTTCAGTTCTGCTATACAACACATGAAACCTCCATGTCTTTTAATCAATTAAATGACAATGGATGTGGTTTTGGTAGGTTACAGTTTCTAGGAGTGGAGCTATGTTCTTGAAGAGTGCTTAATGAAATTATTCATGTGTCAATTGTCCAAATGCTCAAACAATACGATTGTTTCCTTTCTCCCATGCAGTGGCTGGTGTATTTCAGTTGATGCCCTAGCAATAAGCAGTCCAATGCTTAACCCATTGTACCACGAGGGCTCCTTATATAATATTTATGGTTGTGATGGAGTCCTTGTCAGGTGCCAAAGGCTAAGCACTCAACCTCAAGTTCAGTTTGAACTGCAAGATTGGACATACAAACTCTCCATTGGCTGCTTGGAAACTTTATATCGGGTTGCCATGAGCTGCAACAGCCTCTCCAGCACTTACCAACAACACCAATTGGGTTGTTAAATGTGGAGGATTCAAAAAGTTCTTGGAAACATTTTATTATATTTTAATTCCATTGTCCACCAACTATTTGTTGTCTTTTCACATTTGAAAACAACATTGTTATCGACAGAGAAAAGATTGAAGTTGTCAAGGACTTCATTCTTCTTGGATCAATACCAACATTCATGGAAGCAGCAATCAAGAAATCAAATGACGTATTGCATTAGGCAAATCTGCTGCACAAAACCTTTTTGAAGTGCTGAAAAGCAAAGATGTCAGCTTGACAGCTAAAGTGCGCCTGACCAAAGCCATGGTATTTTCAATACCCTCATATGTATGTGAAAGCTGGACAGTGAATAAGGAAGACTGTAGAAGAATTGATGCTTTTGAGTTATGGTGGTGGAGGAGAATATTGAAAGTGGCATGGGCTGCCAAAAGAACAAACAGATCTGTATTTGGAAGAAGCGCAGCCAGAGTGCTCCTTGAAGGCCAAGATGGCCAAACCTCGTCTCTCATACTTCGGAAATACTATCAGTAGGGACCAGTCGCATGAGACAGATATCATGTTTGGTAAGATGGAGGGTCAGAGAAAAATAGGGAGATCCCCAACGAGATGGATTGGCAAAGTGGCAGCATCAATGGGATTAAGCGTGGCAACAATAGTGAGGTTGGCCCAGGATCAGGCAGCGTTTCGCTCTGCTATGTATAAGGTCACTATGAGTTGGTACCGACTCGATGGCACCTAACAACAACAACAATGTCATGATAAGTAAAGCTGGATTCGGGAACATGCAAGTTTTAAAATGGAAAGCACTTGGTAATAAACTGACTGTGAAGGTTGAAGTAAAGTGTAGTGTTAAAGATGACTCCAAAGTTTCTGATTTACACAATTGAATGTGTGGTGTCTCCTTCTTCAGGAGGGGACTTGCCGAGTTTGGAAAATGGGCAGTTATAGAGGCAGGGAACATGAGTTAGAGTTCAGAGACAAGAGTTTGAGGTACCATGAAGACATTCAAGAAAAAATTTAAGGGTTTTGTAATTAGTTAAACTTAGAAGTGGAGATAGAAACTGGTACTAGATACACCAATTAACATGTACTTTGATATGATCGATGCTTTATTAATTGAAATACAATTAAATTATTCAGCAAATAGTAATTGAGCAAAGACTCTAGGTCTGTAACTGTGGTAGGTACTTAGTGGAAATCACTATGTGCATGGGGTTGCTATGAGTCGGTTCCGACTCGATGGCACCTGACAACAACAACAACAT